AGTTTATAAATTTGAGAAGGATAGTGATGAGATGAGTTAATTAAAGCCTCGGTTCTTGTTTTGATTACAGACCTTCACATCAAAGGTGAGCTAAATGTTTGAGTTGTGCATCTGTAAAGGAAACATTTGTGCTGAGTTGTATCGGAGGCGAATGTTGTGCATTCATAAGGTCAGCGTTGAGTATCTTGAGGTACAATAGTTTGGTGACATGCATAATGTATGGCGTTACTGATTTTGTTATATTTCCTGACAGTCGTAAACCAAACACCGAAAAAAGGTAAGCCCATTTTTATTGTTCTTTTTTTGCCTGCTTTTCCAACAATTGAAGGAAATGTGTTTACACACTACGAGGGAGTTGTTTTTGCGTCTTCAAATGTTATTATTGATAATATACGAAAAGCCATTCATGAAAACGATAAAAGTGATGTTCTTTTTTGGAAAATACATATTTTGTATCAAATTTCCATGAAATGCTGGCTTGTCTTGTCTTCGCGTAAGGACTCTGCGTCGAGGAGGAAACACTTGCACAGCTGAATTGATCTCGATGTCACTAATTAAAAAACATAATGTTATCTACTTGGTTATAGACTACACTCTAAGGCAAAAGGGTGTTAAAACGGTATGTGGTTCGTCCTTTTGGGGACGAATGGGGCTGCCACAACCAATAAATCCTTTAAGGACTAACACCACCGGGTCTAACAGTTAGTCTCCTCAAGGGAATAACATTTATTCCTCACATTTACACCTTGGAGAGTAACCGTTAGTCTCACAGTTCACCCCAAAAACTAACATTTAGTCCTCACATTTGCACCTTATAGAGCAACTGTTAATCCCCACATTTACACCTTACCGGGCAACCGTTAGTCCTCACAGTTGCACCTTGCTGGACGAACACTTGATCCTCTCATATACTCCAATCGGACGAACTTTTTGTCCCCAGTTCAAACAATGTTTTTTGTTTATTTTCCGCCAGGCCTAATACTTTTTTCGCCTGTTTTTCTGCTCAGTGAGCAACAAATTGCGCAAAAAAGAACATGCGAAAAACTATGTGCAACTGCTTTCACAGTCACGGCAACAACGAAAGACAAAAGTGAGACATGAAAATTTTTATTTTTCCACATACACATGAAGTTTCCCCATTCTTTTAAGTGAATTCATGGTGAAGTGTACAAGTCCAGTCTCGTTGTCAAATCTTGTTCACTCCTTGTGGAGCTTGTTCACTCCTTGTGCTGATGCCAGCGCACGCAGCCTTCTGCCTGTTGTGTTCCCAAAGCTGCACGTAAAATATTATAGTAAAAATAGTTAGGCACACGTCGCAGAAGATGAGGGTGCCCGCATATGACAAGTGCGTGCACGTTAATATAAAAACAAGCGTTAAAATGTGACACACAAACAACTTTACCTTCACGTCTCACACAGTCCTTCTGAAGCTGCTCTGACGAAAGAGATGGATGACGGGCATCGCAGACGCCAGCGCACAGTCTCAAGCATGGTGTGGCCACGGCTGCACAATAAGTATGTAAAATAGTGAGTCAAACCTGACAGAGGATGAATACAAATGCATATGAGAAATACGTGCAAGGTGAAATGAAAACATATGTGAGATATGACATGCTAATAATTTCACCGTGATGTCACACATCGTCAAAGACTCATTTCGATTCCCGTAGCACAACAGCTTAGGAGCGGCGGCCGAAGCCAGAACTCCGCAAACTACCGTGCCGCTAACAAGTCGGTGAGTCCTAAGCGAGCGACGTCGTTCAGCTTGAGCAAGTGAACGCGAGACCAAACACGGCACTGCAAGCGGAGTGTCTGCCACCAGCGAACTTCGAACAGGAAAGCGAGCGTACGCTTGGCCGCCACCACGAACAGCGCCGAGCTGGTTTGAAGCTATCGCCGATGAAATTGATGGTAATGCGGCCCCTTTCCACAAACTCGAGCGAGTGCAGCGCGCAAACGCGAGTCCGCCGCCGCGGCTAACGAGCTGCGCCGAGCTGCTTGCGACCCACTGACGGGGAAGCCAACTGTAATGGCGACAAATTTTCAGTGAGTTCCGACGCTAGTGAAAGCCCCGATAGCCCGTGCTGGTGCGCTTACAGCGCGCAACATACTACAATTAAGCTCTTTACGAGAACCCGCAACGTGTTTTCGACGAGTCCCAACACAGCGACGAGGTCTCAGCCCAATGTCGTCAGCACGGAGCTCATCGCGGCGCCGAAGACAGGCGAGCACTCGAGAGGGAGCGTACGGGAGACCGATGGCAATCGCGGCCGATTTCCAGGCAGTCGCAAAGCACAAGTGAACTGCAGATGCCGAAGCTGACCTTCGCGATGCATTTCATGCGTGCGATATACAACACGACCGAGCCTGTTGCCGGTAAGCGTGATCTGTATCGCACACGCGACAAGTAGTGTAGAATAAAGAATGATAACCTACTTGCCTTAGAATCCAGCGCCGTTTTCTGCCCCGAGTCGGACTGAAGTATATATCCGATAGGCCTGTTCTTCTCGGCCGTCATATTGGCCTTCCCAACTGTTGCTGTCGTGTGTTGGTAGTGACTATCCTAACGCCAGAGATAAACAGCGCGGCGTAGTGACCTGTCGAGGCTTGCTCCAGACTTCATGGGTGCAGCGAAATGCTAAAGCAGCAGCCACGCTCATCCAGCCGTACACATAAGCACCACGTCGTAATTCTTAAGCCAGGTGGCCGTGGTCGAGCACAGCGAGTGCGACGCTGCGCAACCGCCGCCGGCAAAATACGGGGAACGACTGAGCCAGCAGAGGAGGAGAAGGACACGTAATCTGTGGAGAAGGAGGGTGTCACCTTGTCAACGCTTTTCGCGCTGCCTCCAATGAACGGGCGGTTCATCTCTAGTGGAGAATAAGTGGTTTAGCTCCGCACGCTCCCCTCTTTGGTTGCTCCTCAATGGTCTATCCATTCATCGCGTGCGCCTATTGGGCTCCGTTGCTCCTTTTCGGGTAATTTTGCCTTAGAGTGTAAAGAACAATTATATCTGAAGGTGTTAAGGCATCATGTGTTAATTATTCTATATCAATCGCGAAAGCTTCACGCAATTTAATGCATTCACCATACAATACTGATAGCAATACCGAAACTGAGCGCCTCAGCTTCCTTGAAACGCAGAATACGCGTTAGACCGGAATTATCCTTCATAACTGAGCAAGAAATGAAAGCAATTTATATCGTTTTTATAGAAATATGCATTGTGTGAAAAGTAATAACTGCTCAATTCATAAAACATACTCGACGAACACACAACTCGCACGAATATTGACGAACTTGATATATATATATATATATATATATATATATATATATATATATATATACATATTTAGTCATTATGGGGTTTACGTCCCATAACCACCATATGATTATGAGATAGGCCGTAGTGGAGAGCTCCAGAAATTTCGACCAGCTGGAGTTCTTCAACGTGCCCCCAAATCTCAGCACACCGGCCTCCAATATTTCCGCCTTCATCGTAAATGCGGTTGCCGCAGCCGGGATTCGATCCCGCTACCTGCGGGTTTGTAACTGAGTACCTTATCCACTAGAGCGCCGTGGCGGGGCGTATATATATATATATATATATATATATATATATATATATATATATATATATATATATATATATATATATATATATATATATATATATATATATATATATATATATATATATATATATATATATATAACATATATATATATGTTATATATATATATATATATATATATATATAACAAGCGATTGGACACCAAAAAGTCATCGAGACAAGTGTCTGGACTTATATATTAACGCGGTCCAGAAAGATATATTACAGGAGTATCACAGACAGAAGGGAAAGCGGGAAAACATGACAAAATCCGAGAAAAAGAGTATGCAAAACCTAACATCTAGGACTGATATAATAATAAAGCCCGCTGACAAAGGAGGGGCAATTGTAGTCCTAAATACAACCGACTACCTACAAGAAGCATACCGTCAACTAAACGACTTAAAATTCTACGAACGCCTCCCAGGGGACCCGACAGAGAAATACACGCGTATTGTAGCAACAGAACTGAAGAAGCTGTTGGACGAGGGAAGAATAACACGCAGTGAGCACAAATTAATGCGGCCAGTACACCCTCGTCCAGGGCGCTTCTACATACTCCCAAAAATTCATAAACCCGGTAATCCAGGCCGACCAATCATTTCAGGTATAGGCACAGTAACCGAGCCCATATCAGGGTACGTAGACAAATTAATAGGCCACATTCCGTGCACTCTCGGGTCGTACGTAAAAGACACCTCACATTTTCTTCGAGATATTGCAGACCTGCGCATTCCGAAACACTCATACTTAGTTACCCTTGATGTGTCTTCACTTTATACAAATATTCCCCACGATGATGGCATAGCGGCATTAAAAAACACATACACAAACCATAGACAACCTGACACCCCAGATTTCTCTGCCATCGCAAGCCTCACAAGACTTGTATTAGAACTGAACTCATTCGAGTTCAACCAAGAGTACTTTCGACAAATCAGCGGCACCGCCATGGGTACCAAACTCGCACCAAACTATGCTAACATTTTTATGGGAGAACTAGAAACCGAATTTTTGTCCCAAACTCCCTTGAAACCACTCCTATACAGGCGGTACATTGACGATATTTTTCTTATTTGGACTCACAGCGAGGATGAACTGCTAAACTTTATCGATACTTACAATACTGTGCATCCAAACATACACTTCACACACACCTACTCACAAGTAACCGTAAATTTCCTTGACGTTACCATAATAATAGAAGATGATAAACTTTCCACAACCCTCTACCGCAAACCAACAGATCGACAACAGTACCTCCATTACCAAAGTGATCATCCACGCCATTGTAAAAACAGCATTCCATACGGCCAGGCCCACCGTTTTAAGCGAATTTGCTCAAAAGACACTGACTTCCACGCGAGCTCACAAAAGCTTAAACTCGTGCTCGAAAAACAGAAATATCCTCCACATGTAATTGATGACGCTATTCAAAAGCTAGAAAACTTCAGCGTGATGACCTTCTGATGAAGCGGCCACCACAACACAACCTGCAACAGACACACCTATGTTTAACATACAGCACGAATTTCCCCAACGTTAACAAAATCCTTAAACGACATTACAACATACTGGAACAAAGTGAACGTCTAAAACGTGCATTCCCATCGGCTCCTGGCGTCGTTTACCGACGAACACGCAACCTCAAAGACACACT